AAATATTTACAATATATTACTAAACTAAAACATATTCCTATGCTATTTTTATTTAAACGAATAATATTATTTATTTATTGAAAAATATACTAACAGTCGTTATATTTTAACTTTTTATATAAGCTTTTAAAATTATTTATAATGATTTACTCTTTGGGACTCGTAATTGTAAATCGATTTAGTGATTTATAAAACCGAGTATTTTTATGTTTTTTAATGTTGATTTTTTAATTTTTTTTGTGTAATCACATATTTTTAACTTTTTATTTATTTTTTTTCTTAAAAATTAGTTGTTCATTTGATAAGCTTGCATCAACAAAAATGATATAATAAAATCTCATTTTTATTTATTTATTTATTTTGTTTATTTTTTTTAAGGTTTGAGGGCAATAGGGATTATAATAAATATTTAAAAACTTGATTGTACACATATCAATATTTTTATTTAGAGTAAATATATTTTTATATGAAATAAGTGTTTCGACTTAAACTTCAAGCTCGTTATTTAACATTTAAAATTGGGTCCCCCTAAGTGAAATTTTTGAATCTGTCACTGACAACGGCTATACACTCAGAATCTATATATAGCACACTAGTCTTTAGAGTTCCGGCAAATAGGAATAGAGACGAGGTTTAGAAAATGGTTTTTATTGTTGCCGTTGATCATCAAATTTGATGGTTATGATGTATTTTCATTTCTCTCATTGTTGCTCATTCTCACCTGCAGTATGACCATATATATGAGTAGCACTGTCAAACGGGTCGGCCTGGCCCGACCTGCGGTTCAAACGGGGCGGGCCAAAATGGTCCGCATTTCTACGGGTAGGGAAATCCATAGCCCGTGGCCCGCCGCGGGTTTTATTTATTTTTTTTTATGGTATTCGCACTCTTATATATTTTTTGGTTTGTTTATCCTTATATTTACTAGGATATTAATAAACTTGTAAGGTTTCATGTATAATGATGTTAAATATTCGTCATATAGTTTTCATTTTTTTTTTATCAATAGTTATAGGGTATTCACGCGCATGAACGACTTTGTTAATATGGTTTTCGGTAAACCAAGTTATTAATACTCATTGGCGTTCAAAGCTCAATAATTAGAAGATTATGTTGTCTCAAAGGATTGACATGCTCGCAAATCTCAAGTAATAACACGTCGGATGAAAATGAGCCAAGAACCGACATCCTCGTCAAATAAACCGACATCTAATATCGGTTAGTACCTAATGAACCGATATCTATGACTCCGCGAGCCGACATCATAAGGCGGTGCCAATTCAGCCACATCATCATTATGCCTTGCCAAGTGGCGTGCGACGAAAATGAATGGCGATCAGCCGCCATTGACTTTTTCCAGATTAATGATTGTAATTTTGATAATTCTATACGGGACTATAAAATAAAAAGAGAGAGCTCTCAAAGAAAGGGGACACAAACAAAAAAAAAAAAAATACAGATGAACTATCATATTCAATAAACCGTATGTTTACCATCTTTTCATAAGTTGAATCTTTCTGAATAATCGACGTAACTTTCGTTAAATAATCCTTGTTGATTCCCATATAACAACAAACTTAATTGACATAAAATATTATTTGATTTATTAATATTTTTATTAGGTCAAAAAATGTTTCATGTGCAAGTTAGAAATTAGAAGCAAAATAAAAAATACTAAATTTAAATAATATAAAATTAAAAAAAAACGGGCTAGCTCGCCCAGCCCGTGGGCCAAACGGGGCGGGCCAAATAGGCTCGCGATTGAACGGGCTGGCCAAGCAAAGGCCCAAGCCCGTCCGTTCAAGCGG